ACAGGGTGACCGTCCAGGGACGTGGGCTAATGAGGGACAGGGTGACATACAGGAAGTGGGCTTTTTACCTTCCATGTGGCTGGGCCTAAACCACCTCAGTATTTTACTCATCTAACTGAAAAAAGGAACACAAATGGATAACGAGCATACTTGGAGCTGCCCTGGTGTGATAACTGAAAAGTTTCTGCACACCAATAAGCCTCTCACTGACACAATAATCCAAATCAGACCAAATCAGACCGAATTAGAAAAAGCCCAGGTTTAATGGCTACAAAGGCTCCCGGATGGCTTTCCAGCCCCTTAGAGAGGAGATAAGAAAGGAAGACCAGAAAACCACATGTTTGTTCTGGGGGCGGGACAGTTTAAATACCCCGTGGGAGTGGTCTTGAGCATCTCTGGGGAGAGGTCATCTGTTGGCAGGCTTTCTCAGGGGCAGAGTCTGGACTGAAGCGGCTCCGGGGAGGGGGCTTGGGATGGAGCTTCCATCCGAACATTCCAGACTCTTTGGATGCCAGGGGCTGGGGTGAAGGACAAGCCCTATCCTCTGCGTTCTAAGATGTTTAGTACTAGCCTTTCTCTCTACCTACTGATGCCAGCAGCAACTACCCCACTTAGGCACAACAAAGTGTCTCCAAGTGCTGGTTAATGTTCTCTGGAGGACAAAGCCACCCAGTGAGAACCAGTGTCACAAAACCATGCTCTCTACACCCCACTGGCCAAGAGGAAGCTGCTCCAGGGAACAGAGGTGTGGGGTGTTGGAGGGATCTGCAGGGTCACATACAGATGCGGGAGGTGCTTCCCTGGTTTCTCCTCAGGAAAACAAGCAGTGTCCATCTTTGGAGGTGGACATTGCCAGGAGAGCCACAAGAAAAGACAGAATAAAAAGATAATGGGGACATGGAATACTAATTAATAAAACGAGAAAAAATGGAAGAAAGAAAGAAGTCACCAGAGAGAAGGGGCTTTAACCTTCCGGAGTCTGGGGGACAGAGTGACCTATTATAAAATAAAGCCCTATGCGTTCATGAGGCATAGTTCTTTCAAAAAGGCAACTCAGTTTGAGCAAAGGGGTCAAGAACTTTCCACCCAGTCACCGCAAGGCCTTGGGAAAGGACTATTGTCCCCAGATGACAGACCCCTCAGGGGAGTTCTGTGTGAAGCTCTTTGTTAAGGTCTCATGTGCTTACGGCTCTAAAGCCCTATAAAACAGCTTAGCCTGGAGTTTCACCCACATTAGAGTTCCGGGTGTACCATGAAGTTCAGTGGGACTTTAAAGTAATGAACACGGCTTTTCACATCCAGGGTACAATCAATTTTCCTAACTGCTACTTTCCCCAAACCTATTTAATCTTGAACCACCCTCTGGGAAGCAGAAAGGCTGTGGGCATGTTTCAGACTGTACTCTTTTTGGCTATTCCTGTAGCTAACTGAACGGTAATTGCAGATTTGATGGGCTCCCAGCATTTGTGGCTGACAATGCTTCTTCTCACTGAATCCACACACAGGTCAGCACACCTGTCACGTCAGCCTCCAGTTTCTCTTCTGGATATTCTCACAAACACCCACTACCAGCAGGATCCTCTTAAGAATCATTATTTTAGTGCCCTTTCATGGGTGAACAAAAACAATTTTAAATACTCTAATCTCATGGTTTCAAAACCTAAAAGTTCTTAGGACTCACTCCAGGATCTGAAGCTGCAGATTCTTGTCCATCAGGTCAGGCTAGACCAACGGTTCCTAATACTGTGACCCTTTAATACAGTTCCTCATGCTGTGGCGATCTCCGACCACAAAAATATTTTAGTTGCTACTTCATAACTGTAATTTTGCTACTGTTATGAATCATAATGTAAATATCTAATGTGGAGGGTATCTAATATGCCACCCTTGTGAAAGGGTCGTTCAACAACCTCTGCCCCCAGGTCACAGCTGGCAGGTTGAGAACCACTGGGCTAGAAGCTGCTCACCTTCATTTCTAAAGATTTTCCTGAATGCTGAGCTGCTGGTCCTCGGTATACTGTGGGCATGGATGACTCCAGGCCCAACCCATTCTGATGGCCAATGTCATAATGTTTTCTGCCTGCACAAAGACTGTATGACCGCTGGCCCGCAGCTCACATTCTTCTGTGAACCATTAGCCCTTCACAGTGTAGCCTCAGACGAGCGGCAGCCCACAGACTCTCCTGACCCACATGCAACGTCACAAAGTAACCCCAGCAACTCTCTCGCTTTTCAGAACTCCACACACACTGAATTTCCCTGATGGGCCCTGTTAGTTCCTCCGCCTGGACAGCCACTGCCCACGTCTTGGCCATTCTTCAGATGTCACCTCGTCTCTTAGCCCATCTCCTGTAGCAGTAATGTAATGGTGTCTCCTACCATACCTTGCCCTGGACTTCTAAATATGTACATTACTGTGTCTACTTTTCTGCATTAAAATTATAAAAAAGAAATGTAAGATGTATAGATCTTACTTGGGGGTTAAAAAGAATGTTTTTCTGATTTTCACACCCATAGTCCCTAAAGCGTGGGAAACATCAGTGAATCTTGTGGAGAGTTAAAAATTACACAGGAAAGCTCAATTCTGTTCCCACTCTCTGGTTTTTGACCCCAAATGAGCATTTAGCAGTAAAGATTACATTTGGGTCCCAGAGTATCCATCCCATCTGCTCCAGACCACAACCCGACAGTGGCCATTTCTCCAGTATCTTCTAGATCATTCTCACCAGTGTAAACAAGTGTCCATTAAAGCAAACCACACGTGATAAACAAACCAAAATGCCTTTCTAATCACCAGATCGCATGCTGTGAGATGTTTGAATCCCCATTTATGGCACACCTGTTCCTCCCTGTCCACACTTCCACACCTCTATCCACCAAAACCTCGTGTCCTCACCGCTGTGACCCACAGTACCGCTGGGCAGGAAGTCACCTCTCAGACCCCACTGCACTTGATAAGAGGCAGCACTGGAACGGGGGTAACCCCTCTGCAACCCCCTTCACACATCTTCTGAGGCGCAACTACCGCTTCCATCTTCTCACTACTCTGCTCACCCCCACAGCTGCTCTAGTCTCCTTCAACAAACCTTTTCTTTTCACTAACTCAAAACAATAACGGGAACCAAGAGCCAGCCTCTGGACCTTCTCTCCTCTGGCTCTCCCCTTTAGTTCCCAGATTCCAGCCAACATTAAATACCACTAGGCGGTTCAAGTGAATATTGCCATCCAGACAGCTCAGTGAGACCAGACTCACTGATTACCTCAAAATTAACATCTAAGATTCATTTGCTGGCACACACTCCCACCAAATTTGATCCCCACTCCCAGGTGTGTGTAAAGTTCTATTATAGCCCCTGGTGGTGTCCAAGCCCCTCTCTGCCTTCCAGATCAGCTGTTTTAGTATCTGCACAAGCAGAGTACCTCGGTCCTTGCTTGAGTCCAGACTCCCATCACTCCTCGCCTGGGCCCTTACAAAAGTGCTAACCAGGCTCCTTGCCTCTATCCCCATTGCTAACCTACTTGCCACGTAGAACCACAGCTAGCCTGAAAACTTAGGGTGCAGTGCTGTTCTCAATGCCTTCTGCGTGCTTTTTACCTTCCTCAGAATCAAATTCAATGTCCTGCCCCAAGGTCCCTCACATCCTCACTTTATGTGCACCACCAACTCTGAGTGTCATCCTGAGCAGCTGCCATGCCATTTGCTGTGCTGCATCTCCACCCTGAGCACCTGCCAGTCATCCGCTGCATCTCCACCCTGAGCACCTGCCAGTCATCCGCTGCATCTCCACCCTGAGCACCTGCCAGTCATCCGCTGCATCTCCACCCTGAACACCTGCCAGTCATCCGCTGCATCTCCTCCCTGAACAGCTGCCAGTCATCCGCTGCATCTCCTCCCTGAACACCTGCCAGTCATCCGCTGCATCTCCACCCTGAGCACCTGCCAGTCATCCGCTGCATCTCCTCCCTGAACACCTGCCAGTCATCCGCTGCATCTCCACCCTGAGCACCTGCCAGTCATCCGCTGCATCTCCTCCCTGAGGACCTGCCAGCCATCCGCTGCATCTCCTCCCTGAACACCTGCCAGCCATCCGCTGCATCTCCTCCCTGAGCACCTGCCAGTCATCCGCTGTTTCACTGTATCACTCTATCCCCACCTGGGAGCCTCCTCCATATCCTCTCTGCCTAGACATCACAGGGCTTGGCTCGCACCTCATACCACTGTTCTCCAGTGTCACCAGATCAAAGACCCTCTTCCTGGCACCTGCATGAGGCTGTGCTCCACCAGGGCTTAGACACTTCCTTGCTGCGTTCTTCTCCACTCTTGTGGTTATTCTGCTCCTCCCTCTGCTAAAATAAAAACTTCTGAACAGCTAAGACTATTCACTTGTTTGATTTCCTTATTTATTTTAGATCCCTTCAAAGACTACCTGGTAAAGGGTAGATGCACAATGCATTATTCCTGGGTAAATAAGTGAGTATTGATTTTCTTAAAAAGTAGGCATGTGGGTAATTTTAAAAACCTTTTAGATATACTTATCTTACTCTATTTTATTTTTGTATGACTATCTTGTCTGTGTATCACGTGCCTACCTGGTACCTTCAGAGGTCAGATGAGGGAATCAGATCCCCAGGAACTGAAGTTACAGATGGTTGAGTCACCATGTGGGTGCTGGGAATTGAACCCAAGTCCCAGCAAAAGTAACAAGTGCTCTTAACTGCCAAACCCTCTCTCGAGCCCTGGCATATGCGTATTATGGGGGACATCATAGTAGCACCCACTTCAAAGGAGTAAATAATTCTGCTAAACTACTTCGTTTTCATTGGAGAAAATGTCTCAGTCATACAGCTCAGGCTGGCCTCAAATCCATGCCTCTCCTGCCTTGATCTCACAAGTGTTGGGATTGCAGGCATGCACCACTGTGCTCATGCACCCTGAGCTCAGCTAAGATGCTGCCCTGACTGACAGCTCGAGACACACTAATGAGGAAGAAGACACTCACTTCCGGATCACGGCCTTGGACTCTGACGAACTTTGACTTCCATCTTCTTCACAGTTTGGGCCTGTCAGGTCTCCATACCTTTAAAGATGAAAACAGGCAAACAGAATCCGTCAGCAGACTGCTCCATAGAACTTCAAGCACAAAGCACCATGTCAGGGGAACTAAGGAAATAAATATACACGAAGGGGCATCAACTTGAAGCAGCATTAGCGACAATACGGGATGGATGGACCAGCACACTCCAAACAGAGCCAGATTTAACCATAACACTTCTTGAAAACATTCTCCCAATTCTCCACAGTTCCTGTAATTTCTCCTATACAACAGGGCTTCATGTTAGCAAGCGCATTAGACAGTACAAGCTATAGAGAAGGCAGATTCCAGGTGAGCTCTCTCACAAGCTTATTCCCACCCTCTGCCGTCTCTGCATCACGGAGACACAGCTGTGTGCCATACTTCCATACTTGGGACATTCACTAGATCATGAGCTATATGTATCCACGAGACACTGGGGAGTGTCGTCTTCTTTTGGATAGATCAGTGTTGGAGGATCCTGGAAATAACCGAGGACCTCAAAGGCTGGCATGGAGATGAAGGCTGAAGAAAACAATCTTGTGTTGCTGGCACCAGGATAGCAGATGTGACTATACCTCCACCAAGCCGGGCTGATCTAGACCCAGTAGCTGAGAAGAGGGGAACAGGGCTCCTTCTTTTTGGAAAGTAGTCAGTGTTTAGAATTTATGATTTTGCTTGTCACAGACTCAAATTTTTACTAAATAAGTTGATCAATTGCTAAGTATACTACTAGATTTTATTTCACGTTCATTTTGCACTAATATGTCACATTTTGTTGGAGATATGGCTCAGTGGTAGAATGCTTTGCCCAAGGTCTGGATGCAGAGTTCAATCCCCAACTCTGCAAGCAAAGTAAATTGACACCCAGTCCCTAAGGAAGACACCATTAACTCAGAAGGGCTGGACTATTTCTGCAATTCCTCCTGCCAACAAGAATGAATTCAGAGAGTCCCTGGAGTTTAAAAAGCTGTTTGTCGCCCCAAGGTTTTGATACCAGAAAATCTATATTTGCTAGGTTTACATTTTTAAAGAGCACACTTTGTCTTGTATAATGGGATTAAAAGCTTCAGTATCCGGGTGGTGGTGGCGCATGCCTTTAATCCCAGCACTTGGGAGGCAGAGGCAGGTGGATCTCTGTGAGTTCGAGACCAGCCTGGTCTACAAGAGCTAGTTCCAGGACAGGCTCCAAAACCACAGAGAAACTCTGTCTCGAAAAACCAAAAAAAAAAAAAAAAAAAAAAAAAAAAGATAACAACTTAGGGGCTGGAGAGATGGCTCAGTGGTTAAGAGCACTGACTGCTCTTTCAGAGGACCAGGGTTCAATTCCCAGCACCCACATGGCAGCTCACAAGTGTCTGAAGATTCAGTTGTAGGGGATCTGACACCTTCACACCAATGTACATAAAATAAAAGTTAATAAACCATAAAAAATATTTAAAACCATAAAAAAATAAAAAAATATTTAAAAAAAAAGCTTCAGTATCCTATGGCTGGTTGTTCCTAGGAACTACAAATTCTTTACAAAATAAAAGCCCACCATCTGCTTTGACTGATTGACAGCCCATCTGGTATCCCATTACCCCCATCCTGACAAGTTCCAGGTTGTGCCTTTAGGCAACACACACAGACACAGACACACACACACACACACACACACAGACACACACACCCCTGCTCCTTTCTCCGACTCATCAGCCTTCCAGGTTTCTTGACCACACAGGGGTATTTCCATGGTCCCGACCCTCCTGCCCTCTTCACCCCGTGTGGCACTTGCTAGGTGAGCATTTCTGGGGCTGCCTTCTGCCCTTCCTGAGACAGGAGTTCAGCCAAATTAAGATTTCCTCACCCCACATTAGCCAGGCAGGGTGGGAAATGAGGCTCCCGGTAAACAAACAAAGTGAGATTCTTTTGGCTCTTCCCTTTGACCACCAACCATCGTGAACAGTGTCCTCACGTGGCCTCATGGAGGATTTTGTGGTTTGCTGAAGTGGGAGAGACTGGGGAGGGGCAGGAAAGAGGGGGCCATTTGCAAGACCTCCGGGCTTTTCACCTCTAACCGAAGCTTACTAAACAGGGTACTTGATATTTGTTTTGTTCTGTTAATTTGTCTATTAGTGTTCTCCCAGCGAATGTCTTTTATCTAGCAACCAGATAAAAGAACTGGGAACTGCGAGGGATATAAATAGAAAAGGAACACACACTTTCAAAGAAGAGATTCACATTCTTCTCTGATAGCTTTCTTCCCAAAGAGGATTTAACTCAGTTTCCAGACCATCCAGGGTTTCTGTCTCTAGTTTCTCGTGCTCTCCTGCTCTTTTCTGGTTCTTTTTGGAGCTGAAGTGAAGGTTGGGTGGCACCAACACCTCTTTCAGTTCCTCCACCACAATGCGACACCACCGTGTACTGTCAGGGGTGCAAGAAGGACTAAGCAAGCATTCCTGCACATTAATTAGCCTGTTACCATTGACAATGGCTAAGATCATACAAGTATCCATTCTTTTCACTGCCAGAGTGTCCACAGTTCACAACCAGGGCCAAGGTGATGGTCTAAAAATAACTCAGAGGCCTCCAAGAGCTGTCTATTATCAGCCATGGGTTTGAAGGGCACAGGCCAGTTGCTCAAATCTTGCTCCATCTGACCCATGGGGAAAGAAAGCCTCTGGCTCTGCGTTTCTACATTCCTGAGTTCAAATGCTTCTCCTTGCCTCTCCTGTTTCAATCCTGCCTCTAACTACCACACACTTTGGGTTAAAGCAGTTCAACAGCCACTTAACTAATCTGATCTCTTGGAGTCTACCCAGTCATCACAACTATCCTGTTCAAGGAAATCAGACCCAGGCCTTCTCCATTCAGACCCCTCCCATGATTCCAATCATTCTCACGTCTCTCACAAACCCTGAAATCGTCAGCTCACTGTGCTCTGCCCATAACGCCCACATGGCCCCTCCCTCACTGCTGGCCATGGCCTCTACCTGCCCCATCCACCATCAGTCATCCCCTCCGCCTCATGACTGTCACTGTTCCTGTCACTTCCCACGACAGCCTCCCTCAGCCTTGGGTCTTTGCTGCTGCCTTCCCTGGACATCCCGTTTAAAGTGCAACCTGGCTCTAATGCATGCCCTTAGCCACCTGCTTCTCTACAGTTTTTAGTATCTTTTAATGCTATATAAGGCCAATGTTTTCCTGTGGGACATTCACTAGATCATGAGCTATATCTAAGTGGCATTTTTGACTCTGGTGCTCACTGCTCTTTGGAGCTTAAGACAAGGCAGTCAGTGTTCTAGCAAGGCCAGAGTGGACACAATAACAGGCTGCTCCAATACTCGGTTCAGAGGCAATAAAAGTACCATCTGCCTCAACTCACAAAGGGCCTTAACCTGTCTGTGCTCTCATTTCTTTTTTTTTCTTTTTTTTGTTTTTTTGTTTTGTTTTGTTTTTTCGAGACAGGGTTTCTCTGTGGCTTTCGAGCCTGTCCTGGAACTAGCTCTGTAGACCAGGCTGGTCTCGAACTCACAGAGATCCGCCTGCCTCTGCCTCCCGAGTGCTGGGATTAAAGGCGTGCGCCACCATTGCCCAGCTCTGTGCTCTCATTTCTAAGGGTGTAGGAACATAAAACATTCATTTGAAACTTTAGCTATGATCATTGAAAACATCCAAAATTAACATGAAAAAAGGTTTAAGATGTCTGAAGAGAGACCCTGAAGTGGTTGTAGGATGAAGCCGCAAAGGTGTCTGTTCAGACAAAAAGGTGTGAGAGCCTTCTAGAATTGAAGGCACTGGGCATGGGTGACTATCTACTCTTGGCGCCCTTCTCATTGTTATGAAGAATTAATGTTCTACAGGAAAAACAAAATGTATCCAGCTTTGGAATGGAGAGCTCTTTAATGTTCATGTCAGAATTGGTTTTACCAGACCAGGACCGCCTCTTTGATGTTTCCCTGAACCTGCTCACGGCTTCCCATCAAAGTCCAAGTGGGTAAAGAGAGTGCGAGTGGGTAAATGCTTAATTAGTGGCAGCAGAAAAGCTACAGACAAACCTGTCAACAATGTCAGCTCCAATTCCCACAAAGCCTCCTTAGGCCTTATGATCAAAGCCCAACCCCCTTAGGCTACCACGGAGCAAGTGCTCTTTATAAAACTTAAATCAAAAACCAAACAGCCAGATGACTCTTGACATGGTTTTCTCTGCTGTCATCAGGCAAAAAGACAGATTTACAAATGCCTTGTGCAGTATGGCTGGGACCAGTTATTTACTGTAGCCTAAAAAAGTTACCTGACTAAGAGGGGAAGAACCATGTTTAAATAAGGAAGAGCCACCTCTAAGGGTTTTCTTATTCCTTATTTTTTAAAATTTATTTTTATTTTAATTATATGTTCATTGGTGTTTTGCCTATATGCATATCTATGTGAGGGTATCAGAAGCCCTGGAACTGGAGGTACAGAGAGATATGAGCTGTCATATGGGTGCTGGGAATTGAACTCAGGACCTCTGCAAGAGCAGCCAGTGCTCTTAACCACTGAGTAATCGACAGCCCCATCTCTAAGGGTTTTCTTTAAAACCTATCTGATGTGAGATTCCCCTCTGTATACTATGAATATGTTTTATTACCACTGGTTAATAAAGAAGCTGCTTTGACCTGTGGCAGGCCAGAATATAGCTAGGCGGGAAAACTAAAATTGAATGCAGAGAGAAAGAAGGAGGAGTCAGGTAGATGCCATAGAGTGCTGCCTAATAAGTAACATGCGCAGTAAAAAACCACGATTTTCATGGTAAGACATAAAATAATAGAAATGGGTTAATTTAAGACGTAAGAGCTAGCTAGGAATATGCCTGAGTCACTGTCCAAACAGTTTTCTAATTAGTATATTTTCTGTGTGATTATTCAGGTCTGGGAGGCTTGGAAATAAAAAACGCCATCTCTGCCCACACCCATCTGAGCAGATGAAATATCTAACGTATCTGAAGTGAGGCATGCCCAGGGCATTGGGAGTTCAAAGAACTC